ATCTACACTAGATAGAATAAATTAGTGTTCTCATACACTGCTGGTGGGGTTTAATTTGCTATAGCTATTGCACAAAACAGTTTGCAAAATCTACTTGAAGTAATGATACACATAATCTGTACCCTAGAAATTCTACTCCCACAGAGAGGTGTGTATGTACATCAGAGGACATATACAAAAATATCCATTGCAACATTTTCATAACCAAATACCAAAAACAACTCAAATATCATCAATAGTTAAATAAATACTAAACTATGACGATGAGAAGTAATGAAAAAACAGCTATATCTAACAACATGGATGAATCTTATAAACATAAAGCAGAGAGAAAGAAGCCAGATCAAAGAAGTCATATTACATGACTGAGACATGCAAGCATATGCTCTTGCTCTCTTTCTCTTGTATTTTAAATATATAAACTATTACAATCATGTAAAACTAAATTCTAGTTTTACACACATTGCACATATTACACACTTTGGACATTTAAGTTTGAACTATAAATAAGGTAAGAAAATTATGACAAAAGTCAGGGCAGTGTTTAAGTCAGGGGAGAGGGAAATACAGATTGGGGTTATCATACAGGATGGGGATCCTGGGCACAGGTTAAATGCAACTTCTCTTGATAAATTGTCAGTCTGTACAGTGAAGTTTAATGCATTCTTCTGTATGTGTCAAATATTTCGTAACACAAAAAAAACTTCTATGAGTTTTTGTTTATTTTAAAGAAAGATTTTGGAAATGGAAGGTAGATACTGAGAAACTCACCAGGGATGCAGCACAGAGAAACAAAGATTAAAAAAATATAAAAGGGCAGTTAAGACAAATGGAGGATGGGCTGAAAGGTTCCAATATTCATCCAATAGCAATTCCAGAAGAGGATGGAGGTAATGGTAGAGGAGCAATATTTGAAGAGATAATTGCTGAGAATTTTCCAGATTTGAAGACAGACTTGGATCCAAGTACCTAACAGGATAAATAAAAATAAATCCAAACCCAGGCACATCATAGTAAAACTATGTAAAAGCATCAATGATAAAGAGATAATGTTAAAAGCTGCCAGATAATAAACCAGATTAACTACAAAGGAACCACATTTAAACTGTCAAGAGAGGTCTCATTAGCATCAAAAATGGCTAGAAAAAGATTGGGCATGGTACTGTACAACTGTAATCCCAGCTCTCAGTAGACAGAAGCAGGAGGATTGAGTGTTGAAAGCCAACCTGGGCAACATAGTGAGTTCCAGGATGTACTGGGCTACATAGCAAGACCTTGTCTGCAAGACAAAAAACAAAACAAAACAATGGCCAGAATGGATGTGAGAAAATTGTTAATTAAGGATTTTTATACCCACTCCAGAGTGAAGGCAAAATAAAAAGAAAACCTAAAATAAATAGGCTTATTATTCTATATTCTTACTAAAAGAACTACAAACAGATGTCTCTCAACAAGGAAAAAAATATGGGTGGGGATATAGAAGGTGTGGAACAAAAGAAATGATACTTGGGCTAGACACGACGGTTCAGGCCTGTAATCTCAGTACTTGGGAAGCTGAGCTGGGAGGATCTGAAGTTGAAGGCCAGCCTGGGCTACATAGTAAGACCCTGCCTAAAAAGAAATTTTAACAAAAAATGATGCTGGACACAGAAATGGATATAAGAAGTCAGTAAATATGGTGTACTCTTGACTGTAAAGAAAACAGTACTAATAATTGTACATTGAAGGAAAAAGGGGAAATGAAAACTATAAAAAATAACATGATTGCTGGTAGAAGTAGTGGGGTAAAGTATCTTAAGATCCTCATGGTTGAGAGAATAAAAATATTAAATGTCTATACACCATTAGAAAACTATCTAGTTGGGTTGGGGTCATGGCTTATAGAGTATCTGCCTAGTTCAAACTGTCAAGAAAAAGAAAGAACAAAGAAAACTATCTAGTTAAAATAATATTTTAAAAATTAGAGGAACACACAAAAGAAAAAATCACCCAATTGAAAAAACAGAATTATACCATACTGTAGCAGGAGAATAAAAGAAGACTAAAAGACTGAAAATAGGTAGCAATAGTTTCAGTTTTTAATGAGGGCAGAAAGTAAAAATTTGATATACGATGCTTCCAAGCCTAACAACAATCTGTCAAATTAAAGTTATGGATAATAAATGCATGCTTTGTAAGCACTTATAAAAAGGAATCAGTATGAATTTACTGTGAAAAGGTTTTACTAATCTAGCATTATTCCCTGCCTTCTTTTCTGGCTTGGTATAATTTCTTAAAATGTCTTTTAATGTTTCTTAATTATAAAAATGTTTTTAAAAACAGAAAAGGAAAAAGTCCTATCTACTACTATTAACATGTTAACGTATTTGTGTGTGTGCTGTTGTTGTTGTTGTTGCTGCCACTGCTAAATTAGCAGAAGGAGGTGACACATGTGAGAAGCAGTGAAAACACACTGGACTGGGAAACTAGAGCCCACAAATTCCGGACGTTTGAAGGAAGGAGACGGTACAATGAATGGGGTAGCCTAAGCATTGAACCCTTTATGTTTGATAACCTGGATTTGCATCTTGGATCTGGCTGTCAAAAATTACCTTGACCAAGTGACTCCAATTTCACTCCTCTAATTTCAGATTGCTTGTGTGTAAAATAAGGAGAGTGTAATTAAGTATGTTGACATATAACCTAATGCCCCCTCTCTGTTTTAAGAGTCTATGAATCTAAAATTATGACATGAATTGAAATAAAATCCTAGAACATATATGCTTGTTAAATCTCCAGATGAGACAAAACTGGAAGAGTAACAGAGTAAAGAATGAAAAAGAATTCAGACTATATCAGAACAGGCTCACATCACTATTATGAAACAAGAAGAAAGGAAGACCTGAATTAGATTAACAAAATATCTTACCTACAAATTCTCAATGGAGTAGACTTGATTTGACAATGATTCAAATCTTAGAAGAGAGCAAGATGTTTTAGCATATGCTCCCAGGGCCAATGGTATGAAGGGGTCATTAGATTAAATTAATGAACTCTCAGACTAGAGTAGTAGAAGCAATGCTTATGATAAGAGGGGCACAAATCACACTGTTGAGTATAGGTCAGACATGGAGAGTATCATATTGTGTTCAGAAAGACTTTGGCAAATTGGAATTTACCTAATAAAGGGAGTTCAGAACTACCAAACATCAGAGAGCATGTGAGTGAGATCATGGCACTGGGCAGTTCATCCTGGAGGAGGAGACTCCAGAAAAACTGATAGCTGCCTCCTAGTGTTTGAACACTTGACAGATAATCTAGGTCCATTGCTTGAGGTGTTATTAAGAAGGGACTGTGGCTATAACACAAGTGATAGAGCACTTACCTAGCACATGCATGGATTCAATCCCCCCACTGCAAAAAATTTAGCTGAATTCAATAACTGGAAAATAAGCATTTTGCTGGGCATGCTGATATTTGCCTATGATCATTTGGGAGGCTAAGGCAGGAGGATTACAAGTTCAAGGGTAGCCTGTGCTATATAGCAAGTCCCTGCCTCAAAAAAAAAAAAAGAAGCAGTTTAGGGTTCTGTCTTCAAACAGAAGTTAGAAGGTTATCAGTAAAAGAGACAAGAGAAAGTTTTCAAGTAGAAATGGTGAAGGAGGGTGAATATAGTGGATGTACTTTTTGTACATGTATAAAAACACAACAATGAAACTTGCTGAAATTGTTCTAAGGGGGAAAGATGATGCAGAGGTAAATCTAAGATATATTGTAAACACATATGTAAATGTACCCCTCCTGTATAACTATTATATGCTAATAAAAATAATTTTATATACAAAAAAAGAGAAAGCTTTCATATTGAGTAAGAAGTTAAGACCAGGTGACCTGTCCCTGGGGCCTTTTTCAGGTCTTCCTATAATTCTAACTGCTAATTGTCTTCCATGTAAGGAAAAAAGACAGCATCTTACTATTACTACCACTACCACTACCACTACTACTACTACTACTGAGCACTGTGCCTAGTACTATGCTAAGCACTCTCCATAAGGTGAAATAGAGAGGGCTCATAGGATTTTAAATTCTGGTAGGATGGCTTCAATATACAGAGTAAGTATTTCACCATGCCTACTTCTCTTTAAAGAAAAGGGAATGAAGGGACTGGGGGGAGAGATTGCAGTATTTATTGGGGGGGCTGAAAAACTGAATAAAACTAATATTCTTCATGCTATATGCCTAACAACTAAGAAAAGTTTTAACTATAATTAGCAGTCTAAATTTTGACCTAATTATTATCAGACACTCTGGGAAATGAGCCTAGTAAATTTCAGATCAATTGTATACTTGTATGTCACAAAGTAGTCATTCCAAAATTAACTATACAGAAATGTTTATAAGAAATGTATGTGATTTTACAAAAAGAATACTGCTTCTTGACCATTATACATAAATATTTCTCCTATAAACTTACCACATCCTATAGGCTTACGCTAACATATTCCTACTATAATTTACAAATATGTTTGAAACAAATGCTTCCAGTGATCAATAGGACACTTTCTCACATGAAAATGTTATAGGAAACTGATTTTTTTGTTTCCCATTTTGCAGATATGAAAGAGAAAACTGATTTTAATGGAGAGACATTGAATACTAAGGCATTTTAATGATAAAAGCAGAATTTTCAAACTGAAAAAAATGTGAGAGAGTAAGTCAATTCCTTCATTAAACTTAAGGGATAGGAAGTCTTAGATTACAGAGAAGTTAAGTAATATTCTTAAGATGACAATTGGTATAACAACACAGGAGAGAGTATAAGGTGGGAGTTCTGATCCCCTCTCTCAGCTCACTCCCAGGTTCTTCCATTTACTTAAAGGCCAAGAAAAAAATGGAAATTTTTTATTCTTATATAATAATTTATCAGGAAAGGTATTAGAAAGCACTATCATTTTCATTAACTTTGAGTATTTGAATGATAATGCAAACAATATCATCCATACTAATTGAAAAGAACTTACTTCCAATGCATAATATACCGGCTTGTCTCTGCCAAGTTTGTAAGCCACAGTGGTCAGAAGGCCATGTTCAGAAAATACACACTGTAGGAAAGAAAAAACATTTCAATGTGGAGAAAACGAAAAGATAGCTTTTTAACATTTAAAGCTAAATTAACATATACAAAATAATTCAATCAATAAAATGATACTTATTAAAAATGAAAATTATCTCAAGCTGTGCAAAAAATCTATTTCCTTGTTCTAAATCATACTTGCATAGAGAATTTGACAAGATCATAGTCTGTATTTTTCAATCAATGTAATTTAAAAACATAAAATTCAAAGAACATGAAATGGTTCTTACCAGAATCATTGAAATTTCATGATTCCCATCATTTTTATTAAATTCTAACTTAAACCCTGATAAAGATTAAGTAAAAGCTTAAGACTCAGAAGTCACTTAATAGCAAATCATACTTAAGAATTATTTATGCTGGCAGAATGGCTCAAGTGGTAAGAGTGCCTGCCTAGCAAGCGCAAGACCTCTAAGTTCAAACCCCGGTGCCACCAAAAATATTATATATATGAACTTGAAGACTTTCATCAAAAAGAAAAACCAACCTTATGGCCTGTGTTACATAGTAAGAAACATCCTGTTCCATACCTATAGGTGGAGGGAAGACAAGTCTATTAAAAGCAAGTGATAAAACCTGAATACTACAAAGGACCTAAGCTAACATTTAATTTAGTACAATAAGTCATTATATTAAACTTTTAGAAAAGTCCTGAAAGTTAGCAATCATATACCCTTTATGAAAGAATATTACAAAGATCAGTACTTAGAGCACTCTTTTTTTGTTTTGTTTTGCTTCTTGCTGAACTACATATCCCCAATCCTAGAGCAATCTTAATCGAAAAAAACCTGCAGCTATAGTATTTAGCATTTGGTTAGTCATATCCCAGGGTTTTGTTTATAAAATTCACTGAACTACAACATTCAGTCACAGTTATATTACTACCAATCAATAGGGAGTGAAGCATCATGACTAATAGCCATTTACCAATGAAGTTGACCACCTTAGCTCTATCAAAAATATGGCCATAGAGTGAAAAATACTAGTATTTACTGGCAGGGTAAAGAAGGTAGGTGCAGAGTATAGTACAAAGGGGGCATATCTATTTAGGCTTAGCTTCACAGTTCACTCTGCAGGATAGGGTGTTCCAACAGTGATGGGATAATCAGAACCAGAATGTAACATGGCTGATATGGAAGAACTGAATTTACTTTGTGGCACCCTTATCAGTATAAGTTTTGTACTCTGCATTAATGGGTAGTTTTGACATGTGTCATCCAGATAAGGGTCCTAAACTGATACAAGTAAGGGTCACAAAGAAACAGTTTTAAACTGAGCAGTGATAACAAGGTTGCGATAGTCACAGTTGATTCTGCTTGAGCTCTCCTCATAAGCCTTGTGGCTGTGCTCTGTGCTCTAGTTCTAACCGTACTGGTGACATTCCAGCAGGTGGGAGAAGGGACAGTGCTCACTCCAGGAGCTGCCAGAAGGATCCCAGCAAAAGCTACTACCAATCAACAGATCCCATCAGCTGCATTTTTCTTGTGCAACAAACACAAACCAAAGGCAATTTTCTCAGATAAACATTGTGTGTAGGCTATGAATAAGGATTAGCTCAGGATATTCCATTTCTTCCCACCCAGATAGATTTTTGGCTTGCTGAATGTACAGGTGACACATTCAGGGAGCAAGTGACTGATAAATGTCTAAGTTTATGAATAATAGTAGGTATAGGCAGTACATTTACAAATTAAAGCACAAAAATCACCATACCTTTTTACTGTCACATCACTAATGAGCTGTAGATTTCAAGTTAATCTCTTCTAATAAATATGTATTAAAATGGAAATTAATTATTGTTTCATGCTTTTTAAAGGAGAAACTCATACCAATTTACCACCCAAATAAACACCCTTTATGCTGAATGGTTGTATACAAGTTTGAAAGTACAAAGTTAATAAGAAAACTCAAGGCACTAAATTAAAGTGAATTCTGAAGTTAGTATACTTAGTAATTAATTAGTGGTATCAATGTGTGAAGGAATTTCTTTGCTACAGCTTTGTTTGTAAAGCAGTATAGAGGCAATAATTTTTAGGTTACATGATTCTGTTTCCCCAGTCATCAAACATCAACAATGTGTATTTTTTCTCAAACATCCCAGAAAAATGTCTGGCTTTTCTATCCTCTGAAAAGGTATAGGTTGTTTGCTATTCTTCATGACTATTAGATCAGGACTGAGCACCCTAAGAGGTGTGCTAAAAATGGCACACATGAGCAGGGCATGGCAAAGCTAGAAAGAAGATAAAACACTTTATTATATCCAATCAGTGCCCCTGGGGAGATGAGACAGCTACTTTATATTTCTTCTGAAAAATAAAATTTAATGTTCAAATTATTCATGTTCATGCTAAAAGATTGCAAAATATACCTGAACTAAAAGAAAAACCTAGAAGCATCCATAATCTATTCCCCAACCTAGAAGAGAAATAGGCTTTCCATTGAATTCTGAGCTGCCTGTCATTTTTTTTCTCCCTGCTGTGGTTGGGAGAGATTAACAAAATACTCAATTCCAAACTCTCCAACCTCTTAAGACTTCATTCTACTGATCACTTAATCTCCCATTTATTTTACAACCACTATGTATTCTCTGTTAGAACTCCAAAGAAACATTGTCTGGTCTTATCATAACTTAAAAAACAACAAATCCAGTCTGTAATCCTAGCTACTTGGGAGGCAGAGATAGGGAGGATCTGGTTCGAGGCCAGGCTAGGCAAAAAAGTTTGTGAGACTACCATCTCAATGAAAATAAGCTGGATGCAGTCGACTGTGTGCACCTGTCATCCCAGCTATAGTGGGAAGCCTAAAATTGGCGGATCATGATCCAGGCTGGCTTGAGCAAAAAGCAAGACCCTATCTCCAAAATAATCAGAGTTTAAAAAGGGCTGGGGGTGTGGCTCAAGCATAGAGCACCTACCTTGCAAGTGTAAAGCCCTGAGTTCAACCCCCAGTTCTGCCAAAAACAAACAAACACGCAAACAAACAAATCAAATGCATGCTGGGGATGTAGCTCAGTGATAGAGCAAGGCCCTGGATTTGATCCCCAACACTGAAAAGGAAAATAGAAAATTCCCGAAATGTTGCATGATATTGTGAATCCACAAACTACATACTTCTCTCACCATTCCTGGATAGTTGCATTTTTGCAAATCACATTCCATCTGATTGTGTCTATTATGTACCTACTCATATCTCTTGTGACTATTTACAACTTCGCTTACATCTTAAGCATTCTACTACAACTTCATTCTTGGAAGTCACCAAATGAAGGCCTAATTTCTACACACAATGGTCAGTTTTTGGTTCTCAGTCTCCATCACTTCTTTGGAGTATTTTATACTGCTGACCATGAAGACTGAATTCTATGTTGTTTCTGAATTCTCTATCCTGGTGCCTACTATTTCTCTAGAGTATCTCCTCCATCTTTTTCTTGGTAATGTTATCTAATTCTATTACTTCAAAATCACCTCTTTATAAGCAAAATCCCAAAAAACTCAACTTTTACACTTAACTCATTTCAGATTTCCAAGTGCACGTGATAAACAACCCACCAGTACCACAAGGTCCAAACAGAATTCTACTTGAACATGTTCCTTACTTTGGCTAACTCTAACCACTGTCTCCCAGGATGTAGACTCCATAACTACTTCCTCTCCCTTGTCCTTCTGCAATGCAATACTTATCTACCAACAGCCTCCCTCACTGTCCCCATCCTGAGCCCATGGCCTCATTACTGGGATACTATAGTGACTTCCTCCATGGTCTCCTTCCCTCTAGTATCTCTGTACTTTGACCCAGAATTGCCATATTATTCACTGACAACTCCAGTCACCTCTGAACCTCATAAACCTTCAGAAGTTTCTCACTACCTACCAAGAAAAATCTCCTTTGTCAGAAATCTAGGCCTGTATAGCATGACTGTTACGGTTTCAATATGAAATGTTCCTAAAAGGCTCATGTTTTGGGTGCGTGATTCACAGCTGATGACACTATTTTAGGAAGTTGTGGAAATGTTGGAAGGTGGGGCCTAGCTGGAGGATGTAAGTCACTAGAAGTGTGTCTTTAAAGGTTGTACTGGGTCTCTAGTCCCTTCCTCCCCCTGTGCTTCTTCTCTGCCATGATGTGAGCTGCTCAGAAATATGCTTCCACTACCATAATGTTCTGCCCAGGCAACCCAGGGCTGAAACCTGACACAATCAGCCACAATAAGTCTTTCTCCCTTCAAGTTATGTCGGGTATTTTCTCATAGCAATGAGAAAAGTTACTATTACTATTACAAAGCCTTATTTTCTCCATCTCCCCTAATGTTCTCTACATTTTCTAAACTCAACCTTGAATTTCCCTATTTGTATGTTTGTTCAATGCCCACTGAATTCTTCAATATTGCTCATTCTTCATAGCATCTCAATACTAACATATTTTTGTTGGTGCTGGGAATGGAACCCAGGGCCTCATGTAGAGTAGGCAAACACTCTACCACTGAGCTACATTCCCAGCCCACTAACATAATCTTATGTGGTTTTTGATTCCCTTACTTATAAACCCAACAACATTACTTCAAAAATTTTTTATGGCACACAAGTTCTGATTTATATACAGCTAACTGTATGTCTGTGTTTCTTCTCTTCAAGGAGAAAAATGTGAGATTAAGACCTTATAATTAGCTATTTCTTTTCTCCAATCTTTAGTAGCTACAGAGGTACTCAAACAAACACTCCCTAACTTCAATTAACCATTTAAGGACTTGGCTGGTAACAATCAAGGGGAAGAGGGATAGAGAGAGGAGGAAATGAATCTCTACCATGAGCTATATACTGTGTTAGGTACTTGACATAAATAGAGATAGCATCTGATTTACTAGCATTAGTATTCCTGGCAGAGGAGGAAAAAAGGAAGAGAGCCTAGTTTTCTATAATACCTGAATCAGTTCCCTGGAACCCAGATTCAAAGAATATGTTTTCATACTCATGCTGAATTAAGTGTTCTTTGATCATAACCTCAGGTTACTACAAACTGTGAAAAGTTTTCGTATCTCCTCTCCCCAACAAACTCAAACAAATAATGTCACACTTTCATATGAGGACTGCTTACCCTGCTGGATTACAAGAACATTTATTCTAGAACTGTTAGACAATTCATTATTCATAAAAAAGAACTTAGTCACTGAAGTTAAAACTGGTAAGAAAAGTTAGGAAATCCTCATGAGAAGAACCATTAACTATCATCTCTTACCAAGTCCATGGAAATTTTGTCATCCTCACAGGGACAATAGAGGTTAAGAGTCGCAGCTATGAAATGATATTGATTGGGGTACAAATATTATCTCCCACTGACTAACTTTGTGTCGTTGCATAAATTATCTTCTCTAAATGTCAGTTTTCTAATCTATAAAAGGAATAATAGGATTCCCGTACAGTAGGATTTATGAGGATTAGATAATAAAATATATTTAAATCACTTGGAACATTATATATAAAACAATAGACATTGTCCAAGCATGCATTATAATTATTAGTATTATTTCAGCATTTGGGGCATATCTGTTTTTGGTCTTCAATACATGTAAATGTAAGCTGTTTTCATTTTAAAGTTTAAAAGATTACTTTCAAATAGTAGAGTTGATGATATAACAAAGGGAGCAGAAGAATCAGAGTCAGAGGGTATGGGATTGGGTGTTGACTCTGCTTTGACTAAAGGCAGTGACTTTAGGCAACCATTTAACCTCTCTGTGCATTGTTTTCTCATCCTATCTTCTTACTACTCTTAGACAGGGGGCTTGTTCCAGACTCTGTATGGGTGAGTAACAAGGAGATAAGATAAGGAGATCACTAGGTCTAATCTCTACTTCATTCATTCTGCTTCTTGTCAGAGGATAAACCCCAGATAAAGGAGAGAAAGCACAATGTCAGAAAAATAACCTTGAAAATCCCACAGAAATATGACTTCATGGTTATAGTGAGAAAAACATGGGCAAGAATAATATACTGAAAATTATAATTTATATTATGGCTCTTTCTCATCACTTCCTAGCTCTGCCTCTTGCCCCACCAATCTTACCAAGAAGGGCAAAAACAGGGCCTTGAAAAAAAAAAGATCAGGGAAACTGAGTATAGGTATGTACTCTGGGGGCTAAGGCAGTCTGGGTTACATAGAGAGACCATGTCTCAAAAAAAAATAATAGGCAAGAATACCCTGCACCAAAATTTAGTTGTAATGGATCTTACAACTTGAGACCTTTACACATTGTATTACTATGTCTACACATGGTATAATACATTTTATTTGCAAGAGTTAAATAAAAACAAACAGGAAAAATGTGCATATTCACACTGGAGTGATTATGCTATTGGTTTTTGGCTTAGATGAACTTCAAAAACTTTTCCGCTTTCAAAGCACTACAGCGGAAGGTCCAAACAAATAAAAAAACACTGGTTTTAAAACCTGTTCCTAACTCACGTATTTTTGGCTTGTCCATCCTGGAAGCACATTTGTCCCACCAAAGCAGCAGACTGGTCCCCCAAACACTGAAAGTATAAATAACAATAAAAAACACTAAGACGATAATGCTAATTTCATTTTTTAGAAGATCCATGGAATTTTGTTTTAATTTATCAAGGAGTGCAATGTTTATATCTCTTATATTTCCTCCATTTGGTCATTTTTCCCATTTGTTAATACTCTTACAAGATAATAGGTATAAAAGGAGAGAGTTAGAATTACTCCATTCAGAAGATTTTCAATGATTCACCCTGTGTCACATAAAAACAAGAAGTGGCCATATTTCCTGTTCTTAATTGTTCTCCCTAGTTTAAGAAGGGGGAGACTGTATAGATAGAAGGGGAAATTCACAACACAAAGGAGAGGTATCTGGGGATTATCAGGGAGGTGTTTGGTGATGATACTTACCCCAGATATTGGCACACCTTCCAAGGCCCCAGCTTTCTAATAAAATTTGAGAACAAAGGATTATGAATAGTCACAAAATTTTGGCTCTACAAACATAACTGAAACAGGAATGAACAAGAGAGCATTGTGCCAGAGGATGTGGGCAGACAAGACAAAGCAAGTGTTTCAACTACATGAGTGGTATAGAGACAATATTAGAACTATTCCTAGAATGACAAGGAGAGATGTGACGTTGGAAACTGAACATAAAACACTGGACTGGTGGTCAAGGGACATGGACTCTGCTCCAGGTTAGTTAATGTGAGGCCACAAGCAGGCTGCTGAAACTTCTTTACACTTCAACTTACTTATTTACAAAATGAGGACTGGGTTATGTGATCGCTGAAGCCCATTAGTGCTTTGCTATTTTTATGAAAAGACTAACATATCCTTTAAATATATATATTGCATATTATATATATTAAACCAGCATGGAAGATTTTTTTCAGAAGGATCTATTTTATCAACTCTTCTTTCTATTTAAGCTGTTCTTCAGTAAGAAACAAGAGTGTTTGAGTATTGGATAGTTGTTCATAGTAAATATTATTCTTTAAGATTAGATAAGAGGAAGTTTATTTATGTTATGATAATTTTTTTAATCAATATGGCCAACACTCTAGGAGAAAAGTGAAATTTAAGTAGCTGATTGTCAGGACTTTATAACTTGGTTTTTTTTTTTTTTGAAAAAAAAAACAATGTCAGATTATTGGTGTGGCTCAAGTGATAGAGTTTATGCCTAAAGTGCAAGGCTGTCAGTTTAATCCCTAGTACCACCAAAAACAAGACAAAACAAAACAAAACAAAAAACATATATTAGGGCTAGGGGTGTATCTCAGTGGTAGAGCTATCACCAATATGGGGCCCTAGGTTTTATAACCAGGACCGCCAAAAAAACCCAATAATGCAAAGCAATTTTTGTTGATATTAAGGAATTTGGAGAATTAAGAAAAGTGATTCCTGATATAAGAGTGATGTACCAGAAAGAGCATCAAATGAAAGCTTTGGGCTGACTCTTCCACCTGCCATTTGTGAGCAAATGGCTGTGGGAGTTTTAGTACCCTATCTGTCCAAGTGAAAGTAAGAACAGAATCCTCCTCATGTATCTATGATAATAAGGAAATGAAAGCGTATATGTGGAAGCCCTTTACAAAACAGAAAATGCCCCCTAGACAGCTGTTATTATTTTATTCTTTCATGCTTTGTGGTTAATTCCAGACCTGCTATTTTTCAAGTTTTTTTCTTTTTCCAGGGCCTTGTGAATACTAGGTAAATATTCAACCATGGAGCCCCCCCCCAACCCAAGACCTGCTATTTTTATTTACTATATGTACTTTGAAAATCTAACCTGGATACTAAGGCTAAATTGCATAAAAGGTTTTAAGTGAATCAACAGGAAGCCTAGAGGTTTTATATCTTTATATATTTAAATATTATAAGTCTGATTTCATTTTTTAAGTTATCAAACTTAACAGGATCTACTCTGTCCAGGCATATAAAGTGCTCCTATTTCTTCATGGGGAGGGACTTCTGCATGCAGAAAAAGTGACAGTGCATTTCCAACTAACTAGTCTGAAAGGTTGGTTAAGATATTATTTTTGATGTTTAGGACATTTTAAAACAATTTCTAATTTCCCTAAATGCTAAAGCCAAAGTACACTGCAACTGTACTTTGTAATGGGTAACATCAGAATCTCTCATTCCAGGAAACTACCTAAGTCTTTTATTTTAGAAACATCATTCTCAGTTTATAAAAAGTGAATAAATAAGATTTTTACAAAAAACTAAATTCTGACTTTTAGTATTTTGGAAGGTCATAGAAATTCTAGATACACCTGTTCGGTGAATGAACTTCTGCTTATCTAAAAATACATGGAAATGCACCGTATCTTTTCCAAATGAATGGATAGCATAATTGGTGGGCAACCTACTCACCAGGCTATGAGAGATTTTCTATAGTCAGCAAGGGGGGAAAAGGAGGACAGAAGCATAATATTTTAAATGCAAGAGAAAACTAAGTAGGTCAGTTAAATGTTTGTTTCATTCATCCTCTGAACTTATTTCTCAATAATAGTTTCTTTTCCCAGAGCCAAGTCAGTTTGTGATAGCTATGAAACACTTCAAAAACACTTTTATTGTAGATATGCCATGACTATGCCTGCCTTAAGAAATTCCATGTTGCCTTAAAAACCTTTATTAAAAATGAAACAGTTAAGAATTCTTGCTGAAGCTTTATACAGAGCGCTCAGTATTCAACACTATTTTTATTAACTGTATATATGGAGTTTCTAATTTTTTCATGAACTGTGTTTTGCAATCTAACTTAAATTTAATTAATAAGTTTTATCATAAATTCCATATTTTTGTACCCAATTACCAGTTCAAATCCTGCTAGAGGTTTTCATTCCTGATGTTTGACCAGACACTTCCAATGATGCTTAAGTACACATTTTGCTGAAACTATGTTTTTTCTGGGTTTCAATGAAAGCAATAGCAAAAATGCCCATTATGGAAATCAGTTTAATTAGCAATTCCAATTCAGAAATAGACTCTTTGCTTTCAAGTTTCTTGGCTAAATTTTTCTCAAAGAAAAAGAATGTAATATATAACGATTGTTTAGCCATTAAAAGAGATTCATTTGGAAAAAGAATGCCATTAAAATGTGAATAGTTTCTGTTCTAAATTATAAGAAGACATAAGAGCTACTAAACAGTTATTTGAATTGAAAGAACAAACTGGCTCAAACTTTCCCACAACACTGTTTGGAGTTAGTTTCTCCTGTTAATACTTTAAAGATAATAATATTCAAAGAATATGTGTATTCTTTGGTAAGGACAAAAGTTTTATGTTATGAAACTATTTAACAACACTAAATTTTTATTTTATATATTACCAACGTTCACAGAAAAATCCCAAATCCCAAACTATAAAGCATAACAAAATTAAGTACTGAATTCTGAATGGTAAAGGTTTTTCTTTTTTAAATAAAACTCCTTCCCTCCACCTTTTTTTTTTTCTTTTTACCATTAGGCCATAGATCTCAGAAGAACTTCGAACATTGGGAAGAATTTCCATTGGAATTCCAAAAAATCTGAAAAATAATAAGTTTGAGTATATAACACTATTTTGAATAAGTATCTAGAAAGATTTACATGTATTCAAAGGCAAAAACATAAATAATCAGATATGGATGCATTCGAACACAGTTAAATAGTAATAAATATAGAAGCCAACAGAACACATTTGGATGTTTGACTTTTTAAATTTTTTTAGTGGTCCCGGGGATTAAATTCAGAGCCTCATGCTTGCAAGGCAAGCACTCTACCACTTGAACCACACCCTAGTTTGGATATTTAACACTCTAACTTTATTCAATCAAATCAATAAAAATTAAAAATCACGCTCAGAAACTAAAGTATTTTTTAAAGGAACCTAATCCATGAAGAGTAACTAACTGGACCTGTTTTTTATATGTGCAATAATTGTCTCCCTTTAAAAACCACACAACATAGACTTGCAAATTGTAGTTGAAATATCAATAGTTAAATTTTGCTTCTCCATTAACACCTGAAAAATAGTAAGATTTAGGTTATAAATAACGTATTAGGAAAGCTATACTTTGGGCAACACATAACTCACTCGCAGAGCTCTTTATCCCACTCCAAAGAGTGAATGTTGAAAAGCATTGTCCTACTTGCATTTGTTACATCTGTACAGTGGACACCGCCATTGACTCCTCCTGTCAAACTCTAGACAGAATAAAAGGGACAGGTTAAATTTGTCTTATTTGGAATTTAATTTACATTGCTATTGTAAAGGGCCATAATCAGCAGCAGAGCACATAAAGCAGAATGGGACATTTCTATGATTAAGCTTTCTAGTTTTCAGCAATGTCCAATAGATATAAAATGTGAGCTGCATATGTGATTTTAAATCTTCGATTAGCTATATTAAAAATATAAAAAGAAGTGGCTGAGATAAATTTTAATAATACTCTAATCAATATAAAACTTACCAGTGAGACATGTTACCTTCTTTTTTTGGTACTAAATCTGAAATCTCGTGCATATTTCATACTCACAACACATCTTAATTCAGATTGTATTCCAAGTGTTCATAGCCTCATGTGGCTAGTGACTACATCTTAATGCAATTCTAGTTCACTGATGGTTAAACAACAAAAAATAAGCTTTGTTTTCATTCTCTTATCTTTGCAAAATTCAGACTCTTATTAAATTTGGCTACATGAGATAAATGAACATTTCTGCCTCCTAAGGATTTTAGAGAAATTTGTGTTACCACTTGCTTTTCTTTTTGAATAATAATTTGCCCAAATCCTTAAAGTAGAATTTTAAACACTGTATTAACACCCTCATACAGGAATTGGAAGCAATGCTGCCTTAATTTATGTGAAAGCAATAAGAGGTAAGAAAGGAACAATGATGGATAAATGACATCCCATGGGGTACAGCCAAAAACTGCTCCCTCCAGTCTCCCAGCTTAGTTCCTATATCCTGCCTCACTCTGGTTCAAGGCAATTGTCAGAGCTACTCATTTAACCGTGACTAGCACAGAAGAAAACAGGTGGCCCCTACTGAGCACAAAGCACAACCTTACCAGCAAAGCATAGGGAGGAGTAGTGGCTCTAAAAAACCTGCTCTATGGATCTTGCCAGGGAGAATAGGTACAATATATTTGTGGGAGGGAGGAAGGTGAATGGAGAAGATGAAGGTGAGGGAATATGGTTGATGGGTTTCATATACTTATATAAAATACAACAATGAAACTTCTTGCAATTGCTTTAAGTAGGGCTGTATGAAATTGTCACAATGAATCCCCCATGTACAATGAATATATACACTAATAAAAATGAAAATGTTGAAAAAGTTCATCACATACTTACTGAAATATTTATGAATGAAATTATATGTTTGGAGGTTGAATTAAAATTATCTGTGAGTAGAACAAGTAGATGAGTATGGTTAAAAAAGATGGACCCATAGGTTGATAATTGCTGCACCTGGCTCATTACTGGAGCCATTCAGTATTTCCTGTACTCTTGAGAAAACTGGAAAATGCCCATAATGAACATAACAGAGAATGAGACAGAGAAAAGAGAAAAACTACCACCACAGGACATGTACTTTAAAGACATATCTTGGAAATGTCTGAAATGTTAATTTCTACTCATCTATGTTCAGCTTAGGCAAAAACATTATATAACAGAAATTTCCACCCTGATTTACTTTCCTCTTAAGGCTTGATTACACAAGAGACACCTGTGGAATGTTGCAAGTGAATGAGAAAAGTAGCCTAGGTGTTTTATCATGTTAAATAGTTACCTCTTCTAAGAAATGGCTAATGGGAAAGAAGTGTATGATGGCAAGAGAGAATGGCCACCTAAATTATTAATCCTAAAGATAATGGATATGACATATGGGTTTGGTAATTATCCTCCACTTTCACTGAAATAAGGCATAAAACAAAGAGGGTAAGTAAAAATGCTTCTCAGATGGAAGCTGAAATATTCTGCTACCTCATGACTAGTTTTTCTTGATAATAGTGCCAACTAAAAGTTCAAACTATTGGTAGAAAATGGTAGATAAGATCATCTAAAAAATTCCAAACTATTGTCCACACATATATACATACATTATATTTAAACATACCCAAATAAGCCATGAATCAATGGTCCCAAAAAGAGCTCTATTTTCTTCAACAGCCATTTGAACTTTTCTCACATTGTCAAGGAGCCAACGAAGTTTCACTGCACTGAAGTAAGTGCTAAGCGGAAGACCTGTCTTGGACTAAAACAGTTACAAATTTTGGTCAGCAAATTAAATTTATAACAGTTTAACACAAAATTTCCAAGCCAAAGAACTCAACAAATTAGAAAATAGTCAATGGTCCTAAAGGCAAATCTCATAGTATTAGGAGTGAAAATATTTTTCCTATCTCAAGGAACAGGGAAGCATGTTCATGAACAAAGATCAGAGTGGTTATATTTGCAGTTCAAAGAGCACTCATGTAGGAAGGTAAAGAGAAAATTAAATGACACAGCATCCTATAATTAGATAGTGACAGTGTAGATGTTATTTTGTAATAAATTACTAGCATATGTAGAACTTAGCCCCATACCCTGCAGTTTACATTTCATAAAAATGATTAAATTATTAAGTTTATCAAATCATAAACTAATAACCTTAACCAGAAAGTTGTTTCTAAACACATGACTTAGCAACAATAACATTTTTGTGTATATATATACATACATGTATTCAAATAAAATTGTAAGATAAAATTACTGGAAACTAAAGTAGTACTCAAAGACATGTCAGATTAAAGCAACAGTGAGTTGCTCTATGTAAGAGCATCTGACTAAATCAGCAAACACACTGAACAGGAGTGAGGACTGAATAAAGACTATTGGGTAAAAATGAAATACATATGTACTTTTCAATCTTCCTTGAGAATGAGTCAGGCCCAATTTTTATTTGTTAGTATATTAAATATCAATTTATTTATAAAGATTGGTTAAAGTTAAGTGATTAAGAAAATACATGCATAAAATAATATGATTACATTTCCCTTCCTCTGATTCCCATTCTCAATTATCCACTAACTACAGAATATGATAACCTTTTTCCTTCTTATCTTATATAAGAATGTTTCATTAAAAACTCAGACCAAAGGATTTGATACTTTAATGCAACCTGCAAGTTAAGAATCTTAACTTAAGGTTTTCTAGCTTTCCTAGAAAAAAAAGGATCAATGCTCAAAAATAACAGAAGAAAATAACTTGTGAAAATATTATTTGACTTGAAGGACCAAGGATTATCCCATAGGACAGCCCAGGAAGATCCCTCAAAGCCAGTGGTGAGGTATATTACATAGTATCTTATTTTTATAATGTGAGTAGAAAGTGTAAAAGTTGCCTTAAGTGGTATTGGAGAGAAATACATGCATCTCTTGAAGCAGAGTGCAGCTGCAGGTGGAGGTAATGGTTAGGCAGGGTAACAAAAAGAACAGAATAGGAAATGGGCAAGGGATTATTCAGGGCAAGCCTGAAGTTATTTAGGCAGGGGGAGTAGGCATGGAATGGTTTCTTATATTGCTTCAATTAATGGGATTTCAGATCTAAAAATGAAAAGGAAATGCCATAACCATCCCACTGGAAGATAAAAAGGGGGCAAAACCCAAAACAAAAACAAAATAGGAAAAGATAAAAACTTCCTTTTAGATTCTAGAAGAACTTGGCCTTGGCCTTACTAAGAAATTCTTTCTCCATTTATCTAAATATATATAAGGACTAAAAAATAGGCAATTTTTATCAGCTTTCTTCATATGAACAAAGTAAAGGAGGTCTTCAGTGCTTAGGACTACAGTATCTTCTACTTTCTCTCTCTCCCTGAATTCATATGGCTAAAAACTCAAAAACATCCTGAACTTTCTTCAGTGAACAAAAGGAAACAATAGGGATGAATTCTGTACACATGGTTGAATTACAGAAAGCACCCTTTGGAGCGTGTGGCTTAAGCCATTGGGGCACATTATAATCTCCTACAGTCTGGAAACCTTGGGGTACCATTATTCTAATTTCCTACAGGGCAAGAAAGAAAAGAAGGTAAAAGACTTGATTTGGCCTCCATTATCTACAAGAAATAGTCTATAAATCTTATCAAATAACAATTTCATCATAAGATGTAAAGTCAGTGGAATCTATCTAGTGAAATCTGTAAATTCTTTTTTAAACAAACATTCTTTCAGTATACTTTTGAAGAGATCTCTTACCTTGACAAAGTTATTATTTCCTGGAATTCTTTTACTAAGATTCTCAACGGTGGACTGGGTTCTTAGATCAAGCCACACTACAGATCAAAATATATGTATGAAAAACTTTATAAAATTAAGAACTTAATGAAATCACTGTCAAGGATAAGGAGACTGATTAGTTTCCATAAGTAATTAAAATGCTATAGCCTTTAAGAGACAGAAATTAGAAAAAATTAGAAATGAATGGGCATATTGTTAGAAAAGAATAAATTTAGGAGGGAGAATTTAAAGCTTTTATGCAAAATTGCAGATCAAGTTATAAGAACAATACAAACCTTGTAACTCTTATTTTGTATTCTTTATAGGCAAAAACTGAAGAAAACATGTGGAATGTAGATTTTTCTAAACATACATGAATGCAGAGAAGATCTAAGGGGTAGACAGGGTGGTTGGCAGGGGAAAATGCACAGCTTAGGATAAAGTGTGTAACTCGGGAGGAACCTCAGACAATGACAGTAAAAAACCCGATCCTATTACTGAAGGAACAAAAGATTCATTCTCTAATGTATGAAATGCTTATTTATAATAAAAATATTTCAAAGCATGCTAGATCCAAACTCGTTAAAAATTTTTTTCTAAGGTCACCTTTCTTGCTGGACTGTAAGGGGACAAATCCATTTTAATGGATCAACATGTTTGCTAAATAGTTATCATCCACTTTCTGATCCCCAAGTAGAAAGTATTTGTTTTAGAAGGCTTAAGAAACGAAAGCACTAAATAGTACAAAATTCAACTGTGAAAACCAATAGAACCAGCTGGACTTTATTTGACAGATTTAAGTTTTACACTTAACTTTCACATCTAGTGGTGACCACATCTAGTGGTCACTTGATATTTTTAGAACACTGACTGCTCAGATGCCTTCTGAAAAAGCTCAGGCTCTGTAGTCTATTTAAAGGACTCCAGGGAAGATAATACAAGCTTTCCCACTACACAGCTTTTTAAAAAATTTTATGCATATGTGCCTACAATGTTTGGGTCATTTCTCCCCCCTTTCCCCCACCCCTATCCTTTCCCCCACCCCCTCCCTCTCCCCCCTACCCCCTTGCTACCAGGCAGAAACTATTTTGCCCTTATCTCTAATTATGTTGAAGAGAGAGTATAAGCAATAATAGGAAGGACCAAGGGTTTTTGCTAGTTGAGATAAGGATAGCTATACAGGGAGTTGACTCGCATTGCTTTCCTGTACATATGCATTACATTCTAAATTATTTCTTCTGGAACTAACCTTTTCTCTAGTTCCTGGTCCCCTTCTCCTATTGGCCTCTGTCACTTTAAAGTTTCTGCATTAGTTCCTTTGCATTGAGGACATCAAATGTTATCTTGTTTTTTGGGGGGTTTCTTACCTATCCTCATACCTCCCTTGTGTGCTCTTGCTTCATCATGTGATCAAAGTCCAATCCCCTTGTTGCCCACTACACAGTTGAATTGCCTATTTTGGTTCACTGTTAACTATATTATTCTGTTCTCTTCATTTAAAATCAGTTCCTTTCTGTTGTGAATTTTAATCAATTCTTTCTAATTTCTTAAGTTGTCATTTCCCTTGAGGGCCCTGTGTTTTATTTTGACAGTGGCTACTTCCCATGAGATTCAAATTGGGGACTTCAGGACATGGCAGGTGTAAAATGCAGCAAGAAAAAGACTCATCACAACCAAAAAATAGGTGGGAAAAAAACAAAAGCCTCTGACAATACATGGCCTTAAGAGGAGTTCTGCATTTGCTGTCCTTCATCTACGTCTGTATCCAGGAGCAGTATCTCACATTGTCTTTAGGAAATCAGCTCTCCATCACTGGCTGTGTGATTTGCCTGAGATTCAACCCTACCCTAAACTCCAGTATTGGGTCTGGACCCCAGTGGCTGGTTTAGGAGAGATGGCTCCAGTGAGATTTGTGCTCAGTCTGCAAGACTCCCTCTTAACTGAGTTTGGCAGTATATGACTTGGGCCTGCTATCCTCATAGGGGGAGATCTGAATCTGCCACATCAGGAGCCATTCCAGAAAAGACAGACTTGAGGGGATCCATGTAATATTGCCTGAGTTCAGAATCAAATGGCACCTAAACAAAGCCACCCTTGGATAGTTGGTTCTACTAGCAAAAGAACTTCATTTTTTCACTTCACTTAGTTGAAATTGAGTATTTTACACTGTAATTGATACAAGCCATAAGTGACATCATCATGGAGGTGGCAAGATTTCCTATGCCCAGGGAACAAGGACAATCCACTTTTTACACAGCAGCAGTATTGTATGACTGTGCCAAAAGTGAATCTCACAGGCAAGCATCCCTAGCAAGTGTTATTGGATTAAAAGGAATAATTGGAAAAAGTGGAAGAATTAGAGAGAGAAGTTTTAACAGGCACATCTCAATCCTCAGTGTTTCAAACTACAGTGAATTTAAAAACCAATTTAGTGAGTTTTGATTACCCACTTTAAAAAAATGAAATAGGGCTGATTAGAATAATAAATATCAGAGTTTACTGCACTTACTCGGTAAGATAAATATTGATTTGTGAAACTTTTGTTTTAGTTATGTGGGTTTGCTGAATCATAATGTAAAATATGTTTCTAACCAAGGAACATTAACAAAAACATTTGAAAGCCAGTGCTATGGGCTTTTTGTTTTGAAGACTTAAGCCTTCTCAGACCAGTGTTCTCTCATATTTTAATGGATACAACATTCACTGGGGAGCTTAAAGATCGGCCCCATCTCCCGAAATTCTAAGATACCTAGAAAGTCCACCAGAATCACCTGGAATACTGAAATTATATATCTATGGCCTACCTTACCAGATTCTGGTTGGTTGCAAGTCTAGGCAAGTCCTAAGCCTCTGTACTTGTGTTAAAAGTATTCCAAGTTATCTAATATAATACTAAAACTTGAGAACCTCTTTTAGGGCATTTTATTTAGGATACTATATTTGTTCTGATCACTTAATGGAAAACAAAACTAAGCCTGGCATCGGTGGTTCATGCCTGTAGTCCTAGCTACTTGGCAAGCCCAAATCGGGAAAACTGTGGTTTGAGGCTATTCCAGCAAATAGTTTGCAAGACCCCATCTCCAATATAACCAGAACAAAATGGACTGGAGCTGTGGCTCAGAGGGTAGAGTGCCTGCTTAGCAAGTGTGAAGCCCTGAGTTCAAACTCTGATCCCACCAAAAAACAAAAACTAAAAACTGACAATCAGGTGGCTCTATGAGTCCTGGTGGCCTTGTGACTCTATTGCTTGTTAACAAGGACTACTTTGGTAACTGGACTCTTTGTTCCTCACTTGAAAGCTTGCAGTTATGCCTGATAACAATCATATCCACAGAGTTAAATCCTCCCCACAAAGAACCAAAACATTGCAGGTGAAATCATGAACCTAAAGTCCTATGTTTGGCTTTGCTACCAACAAGATTTGTAACTTAGGCGCATCTTTTTGCTCTTGTTGACCTGGATTTCCTAAATACAAAGTAAGGGGGCTAGACTAGATGGTCTCTAAAGCTCTCCTTTCCATTGTTCCATGATCATGGAAGGATGCTATGATATTTACTTTGTATTTATAACCAGAGACTTAAAGACAATTAGAATACGTGGACTGAATTAGTAAAATGCCAAAGAGAAAGATGTCAGTGGTTGATATACTACCAAGCAATTCACAAATGGTCAAAATTAATTGAATTAAGAACAAAACATTAGAAAACTCATTAAAGAAGCCAAGATGGCACAATTAGATTTGCAGAATAAGAGACCAAAAGCCAAAGAGAAGACCCCAAGCTGGAGGACTAAGCTCCTTGTGTAGGAACAATCAAAAGAAGTGACAGCTCCAGATCTGGCAGTGCAATTTCCCCCAACATATCTGAGTTGGAAGATTGGAAAGTGAGCAATAGCCAGAACACCAATACCTGAGGAAGTACCAGCAGCTGGAACTGAAGAGCCAGAGGGAACAACGGCAACTGGAACTGAAGAGCCAGGAGAAACTGGAGCAGCTGGAGCATTAGAAGAAATAATGGCAATTCATGCTAGAGATGGCCAGGTTCAAGGTCTATGTACTCTTGTTGACCACTTAGGAGTTGGTAGATCACTTGGGCAAGTTCATCAGAATGAGTATTTGAGTGTACAAAAAGAAAATGAAGAGACATGGAATAGAAGGGGAACAAAGAAAGCTCAGTCTGAATGTCTAGTTCAACAGTATTTCCATTTGGATGAATACCAGGTAAGTATCTGTTTCTTGTTCAGGATGATTCTTTCCTACCTGGCAAAATACATGCATCCTACTTAGAAAAACCACTGAACTGAAATGATGCATTATGTACTGAACTGAAATGATACATGATGTATTGAGGGAGCATATCTTCAGGGGATGTCAGAAAGGAATTCTAGTAAGGAACATGCTACAATCTCTGTTGGGGCCATCTGCTATTAGGATACGAAAGGGGTACTTGGGGAAAGTACAGTCCCAGGAAATCACTTTGCTAGTAGGGTGGCTGGAAGTAAAGGCCATCTCCACAGAAAAGAACAGCATGTCTAGGGATAGGGAATTGCTGATTCTGAAGTGATTAGGAAAAAAACAGAAGGAAAATAGATGCTGGGGAGCCCAGAATATTATATGCCCCACTTCTAAAAGGTATGTCCTTTATCTAGACCAAGTAAATTAGAATTAAATGGTCCAGACCATCAAATGAATAGTTAAAAAAAACAATTTGGGTGATCTGAAACTCTTTTGTATTAAATAAAGTCACATCCTATACATGTCTATTAGATTTAGATTGTTCTGAAAAGGAAGTTTTCCAGAGTGAAGAGAAATGTAGTTGCCTCAATCCTCATGGACCATGCTTAGATCAGTGATATAGTTAGCAATACAGGAGAAGACATTATTTTTAGAGTACTTAGAATAATAAACCTCAAATTTACATAATTTTAGATAATTATAGCAATAGAAAGAAAAGGCATTAAGAAACAAAATAAAAACTAGAAAACCACCAGAGATCATCTAAATGATTTCCAGTTGGCTAGAAACAAAGGCAAATAGTAAATCTTCTCTGAGATGGTT